AGCAGACCCAAGATTTGAACTCAACCATATTTGTCCCAGGAGTCCTGGGTTTGCAAATGGTTAGCACATTTGGCTGTTAATGGAAAGACTGGAGGCTTGAACCCACCCAGAGGTACCTTAAAAGAAAGGCCTGGTGTTCTACTTCTGAAAACTCAGCCACTAAAAACCCTATGGAGCATAGTTCCACTCTGACACATATGAGGGTCACAATGAGTTGGAACTGACTCTACAGCAACTGGTGTGGTTTGGAGTTTTATACTTGTCCATAAGAACTACCTTTTCCCCAGAAGTCCCTTCTGCCAAATGCTATGGTAAAATTTCTTTTGAACTGTTAGGTTCATTCTCAATAATACCTTCCTAATCACAATTCATCCTACCCATATATGCCCTGCCTTGAAAAATAAAAATTCTCCAAAATTTCAGTACTCCGACATAAGTATTGTTAATCTTTGTCTGTTCTTCAAATTCTTCATCTATATCTATGTGTGTGCGTGTTTTAACAGAGTTGAGGTCATATTATATATACATATATTATTTAGTGGCCTCTTTTTCCCCTACTTAATATTACATCATAAGCATTTTCTTATATAGTTAAAACTTATGTATAAGCATTGTTTTGAATAACCGCACAATGTTAGCCATACTCATTTACCATAATTTACTTAAGCATTCTTCCTTCTGGATATTTTGGTTAGTTTCAGTTTTTCACTATTTTAAATAACTGTGATATACATAAATTTTTACTGACATTTGTGAGTTTTCCTCAGAATAAAATCTTTAAAAGTAGAAAAGGAAATACTGGATCAAGGAACATAGTTATAAAAGTTCTTGACATATATAGCAAACTTTTTTTTTTAAAAAAAGATTACAATAATTTCTATTCCCATCAGCAGTTATGAAAGCATTTGTCTTACCATATCCATAACAGCATTGAACGTTACCCTTAAAAAATCTCCAATTTAATATAAAAAGGCACCAAGTTGGTTAAATTTTAATTCTTAGCCTGAACACTGTTTGTTTTAATATCACCAATCTTTATATTTCTTTCACAAATTATCCAGTATGTTTTTCCTGTTTTCCATTATTGACTTGCTATTTGATGAGTTGGTACAATCTTTTCAAATATAAAAATTTCAGTTTTACATCATACTCGATGAAAATATTTTCCCACTGGTCAACTAAATATTCAGCTGTATTTTCTTACAGGATAATTGTTCTTCAAAATTAACTCTTTAATATAAGTAGACTCTATTTTCATATATGGTAAAGATGATTTAAATTTCTTTTCTGAAATTATCTAGTAAATTTCTTGAATATTATTTACTGAAAAATCAATCTCTTTGTGACTGAGTGGTGATTTTTCCTTTATTATAGTAATATATGTTAAGTTATATATGCCAAGATATTCATGGGCCACACAGTATCTAATCTTTTATTGATTCTGTGATGTTTTGCTGATAGCAGCTTTATAAAGTTCTAATCAAGTAGTAGGGCAAACCATTATATTTTCCTGATATTAGCAAAGCAAGCCATTGTTTAAGAGGTATGTGTATTTGTTTATTTTGAGGAAGAGAAACTTGGGGAAATACTTTTCACTTTAAAATGTGTGTCTGTGTGTGTGTGAACATGGGTACACACACAAATATATGACACCCAATATTTTGGGAGCTCTGGTAATGTAGTGCCTAAGGCACTTGACTGCTAACCAGAAGGTTGGCGGTTCAAACCCATTAGTCACTCCTCGGAAGGAAGATAGGAAGATGGGGCAATCTACTTCCACAGTGATGCTGCCTCGGAAACCCGAGGAGGGGTCGCTATGAGTCGGGTCCAACTTGACAGCACATAACAACAACAACAATGTCTTGTGTTATCTCATATATTTTGTCCTATGAGGGAATATATAATTACATAAATTATACACACACACACACACACATCACATCACATAAATCATCATCTTTTTACATAAAAGACTGTATTTTAAAATTCTTTTTCTAAGGTATAAAGAATAAGCCCTCATTTTGGATGCTTCAAAAATAATCGTTTTTTTTTTTAACACAAAAATGAAGTATAACAAACAACTACATCTTAAAAGGCTGCTTATAGAAACAACCTTCATATAATTTTTTAAAGCCTTTTTGACAAATATACAAATTTACTATCTTTTGGGAAATGCATTTAAAATGCTTGTTCTTACCTAATATTCCAGATTTAGGAATCAAAACTTATTGAACGCATCTCTGTACTAGTATGGGTTTAGATAGTCCCACATCAAGAATGGAGGTCTGAAGAGTTTAAAAAAAATTAGAAATGACTACAAGTAAGAATCTCTCAAACAAATTATTGACACTTTTAGAATCTAACACAGGAAATCATGAATAATGTAGCCTTGTATCACAGTTGTCCCTCTATGCCTTGAGACAGCTTTAAAAACATCCTTTAAAGATAATCCTTGGAAAGGTTCTATATATACCCTATCTATCACACATTGAATTCTGTTCTGTAGTGAACAATATACCAAGATCACCATCTGTGCTCATGCACAGCACATTCTACACTGGAGGCAGACAGATAAAAGCCAGAGACCTTAGCCACTTAAGCACTGACTAGCATCCCAGAACCACACAGTTCCTTTTCACAGCCAAGTTCCAGAGTTCTGGGATTTAACAATAGTACTCCTACCCTGACCATTTTAAATTCTGGAAGATGTGGAACCACTATTACCCAATTAAAATGCTACTCCCACACTCCCACTGTAAGACAAAACGGAAAAACAAAGACAGGATTTAATCTCCCACATGGAAGAACTAAAATACAGGGAAAAAATATGGAATGACACTTTTCAATACAGTGGACATCAGGCAACAAAAGACAATGAAACATGTGGTAGTTAAGTTTGTGTGTCAACTTGGCTAGGCCTGGTTGAGTGGCTGGGCAGCTGGATGTAGCATTCCCCATAAAGAGACTGTTAATCAACTCCATGGTGGAATCTACTGTGAGCAGCTGAGTAGGTGCCCTAGGGATGTGGTCTGTTTCCTGCATATAAGGAGAAGCCTTGGGGAATGGACTGTAGCTTATAGCACACTTCAACTCTGCATGTAGCCCTGTTGTTGTTTAGTAGCCTGCCATGCTCTGCCGATCCTGCGACTTTCAATGGACTTAAATCAATAGCCTGCCGTGTGGTTGGAGCTCTGGTGGCACAGTGCCTAAGGCATTTGATTGCTAACCAGAAGGCTGGTGGTTCAAACCCACCAGCCACTCCTCGGAAGGAAGGGTGGGCAATCTACTTCCAT